TTCGGCTGCAGTGGGGCTGCCCCTTCTTGGACTTTTTTGCCTTCTTCACCTTACCCTTTTTACCAGTGCCACTGGCAGAAGCCTTCTGGGCTTCAGGTTTCTTCTCTTTAGTGTCTGGCTTCTCAGTTTTTTCACCCGCCATCTTGCAAGATGGGAAAGAGGTGGAAATGATACTTCAATACAAACACACATCACTTATTAACCAAGACAGGAGAGTTTAATTCCTGAAAATAGTCTCAATATTATTAATTGTCTGATATGCTTTTCCAAAGTTTATCTCTCTGCCTTTGAAAGGTAGTATCTGCACCCCTCTTGCTGAAACTGGACAGGGCTCAGTGATTGCCGCAAGTAGCAGAGGTGTGCAGGAGTTGCTCTGTGACATCCAGGCCATGTCATGCAAAGGAATTTCGCGATCATCAGCACAGGTGCCTCTGAGTCTCAACTGCCAGATGAGCAGCCTGGCTTACATGTGGGGTCAGGGAGAGAGGCTGTGCAAGAGAAGGAGACACGGACGAGCTATCTGCATTTGAGCTTCTTAGCTCAAGCACCCGACGAGTGAAGGACAACCTTTGACTAATTCCATCCTGACCACTGACTGCACCTGCTTAGCAGAGATGGGCCAAATCCAGGTTGAGCCTAGCAAGACCAGAAATATAGGAAACAACAGGACAGTGATTTTTGTGTTTTATATCTCTGAACTGGGGCAGTTTGCAATATAGATGGAAAACTAATACTTAATAAGCAATTAAAAACTTATTTTGTATGAAAACAATATGTACTATGAAGTACAGTGCAAAATTCCATTCCAGATGAGACTTCAAGTTTTATGTTTTGAGGAACTTCTCTCATAATTGTGTTTTGACTTGATTATGACAGTAGGGCGACTTCACAGGAAATTTTGGGGAAGAAATGGCTTACGATATAATGCATCTAATAATGAGAAGTGTTCTTCTAGAATTAAAATCTGCAAAGAAAGCAAACTTTTAAATCGAAAATTCCAGTTCTTAATCCTGTAGGACTATTGTGAACACAGAAATAGTCTCAAGTTGGCACACCAGACTTAAATAATTAAATACTAGAATTATCTTCAAAAACTCTGTCACATCTCTGTACCGTGGGACTTTTTATATTTCTCACAATAATTTTAAGCCTCTCCCAGGGAGAGGAAGTGCATATGCCACCACATTGTGACCTTAATGTTAAATATGTTTGACAGAGAAATTAGAAAATGAACTAGAATAAATGAAGCAGTTGTCTTCTTAAAATTTCAACGCAAAAAATTGATTTTAATGAAATTTTGTTAAAATGGTATTTGCCATGTGCATATGTTATCATAAATGATTGAATAAAAATGAACAGACTAGTATAACTCACACTTGCAGAAGAAAAAACACTGTCTACACACACACACACACACACACACACACACACATGCGCACCCCTATTTACAAATCAAATATAATAACATATCAACAAACAGCAGAGAAAATAAATATTTCAGCAATATCTTACTTTGATACTATTCTTCCTTTTATGGAGTTTAGGAAATTCAGTCCAAAAGCATGGATTTCTTCTGCAATCACAGCTAACACAAAGCTGTCTTCTATCTTATAGGTAGTAACAGATGTAGCTTTTGAACTGACACCTAAGACCTAAATAAATAAATCCATAAGTAACTGTGTTTTCGACAAGTGATCAATCAGATTTTTAGTCATGAAATCAAGTCAAATAGCAAACTATCTTTCAATCATCAAGACAGCTTCTTGACACGCTTCACCCTAACCCACACCTGCAACATATTTGCATGGGTGTACTCATTTGGCAGGTATGAAACTAGAATCTAAGCTAAAAATTTTGAACACTTCCAGATTACACCATTATTTTATTTTTCTACCATTTTAAATTAATCTCTGCAAAATGTAATTATTTGAATGCCTCTAAGAGAATGATACCAGTCATACCTGATTTTGGATTGTAAATCCAGGCCTCTCTATTTTGCATGAATCTAAGGCTTTAATTTTGACCACTTTATCCTCCTGGGCCTGGTAGGTCACTTTACAGTTGCCAGAGACATCTACCTAAAAAGAAAAGCAAGAACATAACGGGACTGAGCATGGACTATTTTGATTCTATTAGGAAATGGCTTTTATTTTTTTTAATTAATTTATTTATTTATTTGCTTATAGTATGTAATTTTTATTTATTTATTTATTTTCTTTTTATTTTTTAAATTTTTTTCAAAGTTTTATTGATAGACAGCAATGAGACAGTTTCAAATCAAATTGGAAGTACAGTTTCAACAAATATTACACTGCATATATTCTTCTTAGTGGTTAATTGCTGTACAAGGGGAAATGGCTTTTAAATTGAGGTCCCTAGCATGCCTTTGGGGATTGCTTCTTTTTCTCCTTAGGACTTAAAAAGCAGATAGAAAGAATGCCAAGGTTGCCAATAGCATATGATTCTTTCTCATCTTCTTTGATTTAGTCTTGTGTGACTTTCACATTGTCCCACTTTTCTCTATAAGAGATAGAGGAACAGCCTTGACATCACTGAAACCTCTGGCAAATGGGTAATTAGGGGTCAAGGAGTATTGATTCTTAAGGCTGTATTAACAGTGTATGCATTACTTTGATGAGTTGAGTATGATTAGAAAATTTAGAAAAACTATGGGATTAATTAAGCTCATTATCAGTCATATCAACAATTTGAGTTTAGGCCAATTGTCCATGTAGACTCCACTTAGCTGCCCTGACATGTCCCCTGGGCTTCTGCTAGCATCACCCATGTCTTATTCCAGGAAGCTAATCAACATTGGCTGTCAGATCTTCTCACCCATTCAGGGGCTGGCTAGAAAAGTTGGACTCCAGCCATGGCCCCAGGAATTGTAATAGGGGAACCACTCAACTTCTCTAACTAACTTCAGTTCCTGCATTTGCAAAATGAGGGACATTGGTACAGGTTAGTCATTCCCATATTGATAATACATTAAAATTATCTGAGATTGTTAGAATACTTATCCTCGAATCCAGTAATCTATTTCTGAGCATATTTTTTCATATACTCCCTCTAGCTCCCTGTCTAGTGGTGCCCAGTGATGTCCAGAAACCCCTGGAATGATCCCTAAAGTTTTCTGCACATCTAACAATTATTCTAGGTCTCCCTAGTATAACTGATTCTTAATCCCTTTACCATGAATTCAAGTAATGAAACATTGGAGTAAATGACAATTATCTTATATGTAAATGAGATTTGACCACCCAACTTAACTTTTCTGAGGAAACCATGTGAGTTTTATAAGTAGAAATTATTATAACAATTTTGCTAACCCTACTCACAAGCACAATACTAAAACCTTAGTAACGTTAGCAAGTACCTCATTGGTGGTTCCAGAGCTTAACTGCATTTGAAAAAGGCTGGCCAGGCCTCTCTTCAGATTTTCTATGGCTACTGGCTCATTTTGATATGAGTAGAACTCTTTGACCTAAGTGGGAGGAGAAAGAGAAACATAAATGAAGCAGAATTGCTTCAGTCATCAGATTTGTTTAAGTACGTGGTTGGAAGGGTCATATTCTTGCCCCATTAACTCCAGGATAACCAATTACTACAAAACTGCCTTTTTTCATGAAAAGAAGCTAGATTTCTAAGAAGCTAGACCATCCAGATATGAAATTTAAGGGGGATGATGATGAAGGTTTCGCCTATGATCAGCATTGACTAAAAAGGAAAGAGTTCTGACAAAGGCTGAGATGTCTATGAAAACAAGAATTGTCCACAGAGGAAAACTTAAGACACATTTTCTTTGAATGTATCTCTTTGTTCTTTACCATCCTTTAGAAAGAAACTATCTGGGGTATAAAATAACAGAAAATAAAAGGGTTCTAAGTAGAAAATCACAACCCTGCTGATTCAGATTTCTAAATGGCTCATGCTTTATAGGCTCTGACAACAATCAGGCAGGTCATGTACCAAGGGGCAAAACCCCATAGGGTCAATGTTTTCCCAGCATTCATCTGGCTTTGAGTATAAGGAGACAGAGGCTGGGAGACTGGAGGTTGGGATTTTGTCCCCAGGTTTTGCTTTGAGATTCTGTTTAAAATGTGGAGAAAGGTTGAAGTGCTGAGGGGTGGCTATGGTTTGGCAGCAACAGTAAGTGACTTAGCGTTGCTTTATACTTGACATTTCTGGTTCAGTGCCTTTTATCATTTTGATAAGTTAGTTCATGTGTAAGAAATAGAATGAGAGCTGGGGATTTATACAATGGCCTGGCAAGCATGAGGTCCTGAGTTTGAGTCCCAGTCATCCTCCCCAACACCCCACCAAATATACGGCATCTAAGAAATAAGATGAAAATACAAAGTCTTTTCTGAAAAGCAGCCTGTTGGGTTTCACTCTATATTGACTTTAAACACTTCACAGTTTAGAAATACATCTTCCCTATAAAAATTCCCAAGGTCTATGATAAGTATAGCTGAGTATTTCTACCAAAATATCTTGAATATTTCTATTTCTATTTCTACTTCTCTTTAAATATAACCATGGCTTTTCAAATAAAAGAGAAAGTTCTGTAATTATATAATGAACTCAATATCAATATGAATAATCTAACTATATAAAAGTCTCTCATGCCTTAAAAAAAGAGAATATTTTGTCTGAATTATCCAGACAAAATGCCTGAAATCTCTATTTTTACTTCCTCACATATACCCTGCCTAGTGACAGATTTACTAGATACTTTATTTGGCAATCAACTTTAGCTATCACATTGGACAAACCTATAAATATTGGAATAGTGCTGTTTGTCCTAGTTAAAAAGGAACTGGAATAATGACCTCAGTGTCTGAAAATTCTTGGGATCATATTCTCAAACAGATCACCAGCAATTTCTCAGACCCAAGGCGCGTTTGTGATGTTCCCTATGGTAAGCAGGGTCCACTTTCCTTCAGTAGTGTGTCACGTCAGTTGCAGACATCTGACAGAAGGCTCTCCAGATAGTCTGCCTATCAGAGTCTATAACCGGCTTCTTGAGTCAGCAAAGTCGGAAGTGCTCCCTGGGGGCAGTATACATTTATATTATGACCAGTAATGTTTTGGGCTGAGGTTTAGATACTTTAGAAAACATTAGCTTCAATTTCCTTCCAGAATACAGAGTATGTCCACTTAAAAAGTATCACCTAGAAGTTCAGCAAACCCAGTGCTTGGATTTCTTTTAAACTGTACAAGTATTTTCCTGTTAGCAACTCACTTCTGTGGTGAAATTTTGATCTTGATCTCTAGATCCCCAAGAAAATGATTTTAGGACATTATTTTCTTCCTGACAGGCTAAAAAATGTAAACTATGAGATGCAAAATTTTTTTTTAATTCTTTGTAATTTTTTTTGTTTCCTAGAATTAGAAAGCGTACACATTTTTATTATTTCATATTATTGCTGTCACCAGGGCCAGACTTCTGGTTCTTTAGGGCAGAAGAGTGAGATTCAAAGCAAAGACAGATCTTACGTGTGTAATAACTAAGTCAAAATTACGTACAATAATAAATCTGAACTTGAGTTTAATCCACGTGGCTGTTGCAACTGCAATCTTAAATCCATTATTTCACAACAAGAACTGAGTACGCTTCGTTACACTCAAGTCATAAAGCTGATTACTTCATCCAGTGATGGAATGAACTGAGCACCTGAGCACCCACAGCACTTATCTGAATTCACAGTCCTCAGCTGCCGTGGAGCAGCAGCCTGGAAGGTCTGCGCACAGGGAACCCAAGTTGAGAGGTGTCGGCCGAGGCATGGTGCCTCCTCTAGTCAATTTGGAATATGGAGCCCTCACTCATCCATGCCTCTTAGGAAGGAAATGTTTCTGTGTACACATTCCCTTCCTTACATATATTCTTTAATAAGACAAAGCAAAATCCCATGCAATTATTTTGCCAAGCAGCAAAATAAAAAATATCCTAGCAAAGAATGTTAGGCATTTTAACTTTGATATGTACCCGAGACAGAGCATAGCTAGGAAATGTCATATATGGAACAAACAGTGAAGAAAATTCTAAACTTTCCTAGGTGAGTTTGGAAGAGGCAATTGTTCTGTTGAAAAGCCAGTGTGTACAGAAGTCATGGTGGACAGCCAGAGAACAAATCAATGCCTGGGCACCACCCAAAGCAGGAGGCCCATTCAGCAGCCACTTGATTAACTTAATCAGCACAGACAGCCAAATCAGAACTGGAAGTCTAGTGATTCTGTAGTTAACTGGATCAGCATTTCCAGCCCAAAAAGAATTGATGCTATCATTGAAAGTAGTTTTCACTTCTTAGTGTTAATCAATTTAACTACATAACTGCCACATTTCCAACTTAGTTTGTGATTTAAACAAAACTAGAGTCCTGTCCAAAAAAAAAAAAAAAAAAAGAAAAGAAAAGAAAATGTGCAATAATAGGTACCTAAGTAAATAGTATTTTTATAGGTTCTCTTTTATAATGTCAATGTGGGAGCTTCATATTGGGAGAGAAAAAGAAGGACTTCTGGTGGTACAAGGACACATGCAGATGAGAATTCTTGCCATCACAGAAGGTTTTAGTAAAACTTAACTTCACTCTAGGGTAAAATGCTCTCAAAGAAAATTGCCTATCAGCAGTTTACACTGTCTTTGCGTAATTTGTCACAGTAAATGGAAATAACAGTTAAAGTGATGATATTCCTGACAAGAAGAAGACAACCAAAAATTCTACTTAGCTTCTCTGTCTCCAAGGTCAAGATTTTTTCTGCGGACTTTTTGTGTAGTAAAGTGATATGCTGATGTACTTTAGCCTGTGGTTCCAATAAGTCAGCTCACATCACAGTTCCACCAGAACTGGCCCGTCAGCACCACTGAAATAATAATGTGGCAGCTACGTCCCAGCCTTTGAACAGTAAGGGCACCAAGTCCTTCAGTGTGTAACAAAAGACTTTGTACTCAGCTGCCAGTCGAGGAGCTATAAAATAATTTGCTGTCACTAAGGTCATAAATGCAATTAATATTTAATGGACTCAAGTGCCTTGCCACATTGCAAGCCCCTACCAAAAAAAGTGTTTCACACTGTCATCAAAGTTCAGCCATATGCAAATCAAGTAAATGAATGTAGTGCTAATGAATGAAATAAGGAGCACACAGGTCAACCAAAGACAGTATTTTACCAGATACTTTCCATCCAGAACAAGTAACACATAGAAGCTTGAGTATAGACTCTGTTTCAAATACCAGCTTTTTTTACTGGCCAATTGTGTAACCCTAGACAAGTTTCCTAGGATCTCTTAACTTTGTTCTTCATCTATCACAACCACCTGCTTCGTAGGCTTATGCCTGGGATAAGAGAATAGTGCAGGTAAAGTTTCTAGTCAGTGTCTGATAGTGCCTAGGTACATTTTAGCTATGATTAAGTGAATAATAAGCAAATACTCTGTGCAATTTGGACTTCTTTTAGCCTCAGATAACCTTATCAGTTCACCCTTTATTTTCATCAACCCACATATGTAGTGCCCAATACTTCACAGAGTATACTTGCTTCTCAATTACAAATATATTAAGATCATTTGAAATAAAAACAGACTCATAGTATAAATAATTCACATCTACAAAATTTTCTGATACAATTTCCAATGAAATTATAGTGTTCATTCATTATTTCGCCATACTAAGTGCATTTTCAGGTCATAGCTCAAAGAATTGATAATTTTTTTTTTAAAAAGTAAACCTTACCTTAGACATGAATGGCTTTCTAAAGCTTGAACTGTGTACTTTTTTAAAAGCCAGATTGTAGTATCCTCATCAAAGCCTAAAATCACTTCTCTAAGTTACCATTGCATTGTAATTTGTCTGTATTCCTGAATTTATCTAATCATCTGTTTGACTAGGATTTAATCCAATTTATCATCAAACTATGATGACTTGCTCTGTTATACTGTCTTAGTAACCCTTCCTAATTTAATAAGGTGTGCACTTTTAAAATTATACCTCTCATCAATAAAGAAATACTTGGTTTTACTATAATGATTTTCACAAAGATAGAAAACCAATTGGCTAGAAAGGGCTGGAGAAATAGATTGGCATGGGGGCTGGGGAGATAGCTCAGTAGAATAAGCACTTGCCTGGGCCTGAGTTCAATCCCCGGTTCTGCCAAAAAAAAAAAAAAAAAAAGAAAGAAAAAAGTAGATTGGCAGCCCAAGGGCCCGCCTAGCAAGCAGCACAAGGACCTGGGTTCAATTCCTGGTATTGCATGCTATACTGGCCCCATGCCAGGCTGGCCACTGAAACTGGGCGTAGTGGCACATGCCTGTAATCCCAGCACTGGGGAGGCTGAGACAAGATATGATCACTACAAGTCCAACCTGCATAGCGAGACCCTATGATACATAAATAAGAGATTTTTTAAAATAAAAAAAATGGGACAGAAAATATAAAAGAATTTGGGGCATTGTTCTACTGTGGAAGCATTTAAATTTCAACTTCTGCTTATTAATTCTTGAAATAATTACATTTATCATGAAAGCAATGAAAACATCATTACTTAAAAAATAAGATATGCACAGGAGGGAAGATAAATAGAAAGTTGGAGCAAAGACCCCCTGAGACCCTTTACCTTTCCACGGATTAGATGAAGGAGCATAGGTCTTTGCAGAGCCTCTAAGTTTTGCTTTCCTAGGAGTTTAGGAAGAGTTTTTCCTCTGAAGATGCTTCTTTCTCCTCTCTTTTGATTCACATCTTCAACTCTCACGTCTGTTATCTGTAGTCACAGAAAAAAGCCTATTAGAAAAGTGTCTTATGTCTTTCTCCATTAGAGTATCTTAGAAAATAAAAAGGTAAAGACATAGTCCAACTGAGATTATAATTTTTCTAGCCAAAATTGGAGGACTTTGCCATTCCCTTTAAAAGAACAGAGGTAGTATTTAAAGTTTGATTTTTTAATTAGGCAAAAATACCATACTTAAAGAACTCTGTGAGTTCAGGTTCATAATAACTGACTTGAAGATGGCTCTCTTATGTCACTCTTGAGCAGGAGATCTTTGCCTGATGGCTTCACCTTCTTACTACAGTATTTGTCTGAATGGACACTTGTTCCATTCAACTGGACATGTAACACTGAAACTAAACAGCCTAGTTACAGAGAAAATCTTATCAAATGTTTTCTGCAGAGTAGTTTACTGTTATGTTGAGAAAAGCCTCAAAGCAGTGGATGATGATGGCTGGGTCCAACTTGGAAAAAAAGATTGAGAGACATGTAAGAAACAAAGATCACTTATAAATGTTTTACAATGAGCCTCAATATAAAGATTAGCAGTAAGCTTGATGTGATAGAGCAGGCCTATAATACCAGCACTTGGGAGGCTGAGGCAGGAGGATTGCAGAGTTCTAGGGCAGCCTGTGCTACATAGTGAGACCCTGTCTCAAAAACAAAACAAGACAAACAAACAAACAAACAAACACCCAGAGTAATTATGTGTTCCAAGAACTTGGTCTGGTACAGCTGCATGATGAAGAATAACTTACTTTGCTAAAGGAATTTATTGCCTTTAGATTCTTGAGAAGCAAATGTGGAATAAAAAGTGGAAAACCCTTACAGATAACCTAATTTGGTCTACCTCTGATGCATGAATCATAGCTGACCAAACACCGTCATGAAGAGAAGCACTTGGTTCCTCCTCAGGAAGAATACAGAGTAGGTTCGCTCCTTCCCGCCAACTCCCTGTTTAATCAAGGAGCTCCTACTTCAGCTCCCCTGTGAGTTGCTATAGCATCAACTGTTTTCCCCAGGACAGAGTGCAGATCCCTCCCTCTCAGAACATTCTGCATGGATTCCAGTTTAATGTCCCTGCTAACATCACACATGGAACAGTTCACCACACTCCAGCTACTTATCACCATATACCACCTACTTTCCTGCTTCCACTACTTGGAAAATTCAGACCACATTTGATCAGCAAAATCTTCAAAACCATGGAACCGGTACTAAAATTTGATGTCAAAATATAAAACAAATGATTCCATAAACGAATGCACAAGAGTGCTGTCAAGTGTCACATTTCTCAGAGACCTCGCTGACATCAAGTCCTGGGTGGGGGCTTTGCTGTCATTCTTGCTATTGGAAGAAGATGCCTACCTTGATTTGGATCAGCTGGTCATCGTCACCATCAGGGTTCCGCCACAGCAGGACAGCATCCACGCTGGATGAAATTCGGTAGCCCACGCTGTCTTGGGGTTTGCCTTTGCCCTCATCAAGGAAAACTTCAGTGGAGTATGTGAGCCTATATATCCGGTCATTATTTAGTGAAAGGCCAGTTGTGTGACCTGCATAAGGACAGGGACACAATCCGTGTTTTTTTTTTTTTTTTCATTTTGCTTTAGTATCAGAGATCGAACTTGGGACCTTGCACTTGCAGGCAGGTGTTTATGCCAGTGAGCTATCTCCCCAGTCCCACGATCGGGTTTTAACTGGAAGACATCTGTCAAGCTGGAGAGCACAGCTTTCCTTTCACTCACAGGGCCTCTGCAGGAGCCACGTATCTGCTGACCTGAAGACAGTGCTTGGTAGTTTGAAAAGCATAAATAAACTAATGAACTAGGAAACAATTAAGCTATCATTTCAGAAAGCCTTAGTGTGGCTGTCTAATCATTATTTTTTTTTATAATTTTATTTTTTTTAATTTTTTTTTATTAGAGAGA